GCTACGAGTAGGACCAATTTTAAGTTCATAAAATAGTATAGTCATTCTCCCCGTCTCTTTCTCTTCCTCATGCAACCTTAATTATAAACTTATGAAATAGGTATAATCATTTTTACTCTTTCTCTCTCTCTCTCTTTATTTCACTTTATTAAAAAAGATTAATTCTTGTTGATTCATAAAAACAAGTAATAATATTTATATGATAAGAAACTTTTCACTTGTATGATAGGTATATATAGAAGGAATAGATGAAATGAAATTACTAGAGAAAAAATCCTTTAAGTTATTTTATTTTTATTATAATCCTTTAGTCATGTCCGAATGAAATCTACTATTTTACTATTTTTTTTTCTTCTTTTTTCTCTCTCTCTATCTCCCTTGTTCCCTCTCTTTTCTATTTGTCCTTTGTCGCTCTAAGCTCACGTTGCTTCGCGTTCATACCCGGAATAGGATGCACTTCCAGGATTTAATTGCGATCCTGTGACGAAGCCTTCCTGACGTTCGTTACCTGCCTCTGTGTGCTCTTCTCATTCGAATTGAAAGCTCCGTCACGCACGAGCTTGCACATTTGTGTCTAGTAGAGACACACATACATCCATACTTTTCTCCCTCTCTATGCCTACGCAGGAAGAGCAAGGATTACGTGTCACAAATTGGTATTACCTACCGCTGCAAATGCAGACGTAGGAGACAGGTGTGCATTCGGTATTTCGAGAGAAGCGTCTCCAAGTGCTTCCAGAATATCTGATGCGACTAGACTAGGTAGGGAGTCTAGGTGAGTTCAGTTACTACGTCCTTGTCTATCCTTACGAGCTATTTCAACGATGGGAACCCATTTTTCCTACCGAGAACATTCGCTTGGTTTTCTTTTTTCTCCTTTTTTATTTCTTTTTTTAAAAAATATAGTTAATTACAGCTGCTTACTTTCCTCCTTACTTTATTTATTTATTTCTTCTTTTTTTCCTTTGCTTTTCATTTTTACTGTTCGTATTTTGAACACATTCAACGTCCAAAGGATCTCATCATTGTTTTATTCTTCGCGTGGAAGCTCGTTTCATTCGCGTCATTCAAGGTAACGAACCTTCCTCCTTCCTTGATCGTACTACTCTAACTGCCTTCGAAATCGATTTTCTATCTTTCTTCTTTCTCTTTCTACCTGTTCTCTCTTATTTTTATTTCTTTTTTGTTTTTCTTTTCTTTTTTCAATTTTATTTTATTCCTGCGATACCTTCATTCTTTCTGCCTTTTTTTTTTTTCTTCTTTCTGCGATCTTCCTCGTTAGGTAAGACCTCAGCAGTAAGATCCAAGGACGAAGTAAAGTTCCTTTCCGATATCGGTGAAATATCGTTTATCGTCAAAGCGAGACCTTAATCGATTTATCGAAACGTCGCGTCGTCGCCTCGTAAAATAGCGGATGGGATTCACTGCGAGCCAATGAACACCAATGTCCATGATGTTATCGTCATATTCGAATATATAAAGCGACTCGAAAAAATTATTCTATCACTAAATTTATATATTGCATAATAAGTATTATTGTAAGAAATGCAAAGGTGCTAGAGTAATCTTCTGTAATTGCATATCATCATACGGAATTTGAAACTCACACATATGCCAATTGATTTTAATGTAAATATTACATTTGTCGATGAGAATAATTTGAATTTAATCGGAATTTTTTGGAATTTTCTTATTTTGTTGTTCTGTTGTAAAAGATTAGTTATTTCTGGTCTACTGTATCTATGAACATTTACCTTCTGCTTTTCACCAAAAGAGGTAGTCTTGGGAGAAACTTAGTGTCCAAACGCATCGGCGGGTTAGATTCGATCGATAAAAGTCGCGACAAGCTAAAGTAAGCATGTTATAACGGGTGAATAGTTAATACTTGTTTAAGTAGTTATAACGCTAGTTAACAGGACGTAATACATTTCGTGCACGCTGGAACAAGTTAGATCCTCTTCCTCCAATTAAAGTTAGAAATTTCCACGAATTTCTCTCCGCAAGTTTTCTCGCTTGAACGGGGCCAGCAGCACACGACTCTCTCTCTCTGTGTCTGTGTGTGTGTATACGCTCGCGATAATGTGTGTGGAATAAAAGGAGGCGAGAGAAAGATAAAAAAGGAGAAAGAGAGAAGGAGATAGAGATCCTTGTTAAGAGCAGCAGTTTTGCAATTTTTCCACGGTGAAATTCTGTATCTCGCGCGCTACTAACGTTCTACGGATGTACTTTACTTCCTGGAACCATCTTAAGAGAGGAATACACGCCATGATTTTTCTCTACTTTTCTATCTATTCTTTCTATTTCTTTATCTTTCTCTCTCCCTCTCTCTTTCTTTTTTTTCCTCCTTCTTTCTGCTTCTTTCTAACGTCTTTAAAATTAATACGACGTTGAAATCTCCGTCAAGCTTGCTGCAAGAATTCTATACTACCGGAAATATTTTAAGAAATCATAGAACGAAAAAAAATATCCCATTTCTTCGAACTCTCGTAGTTCGATGAAAAAATAATTATAATAAAATTGTTATACGTTGATATTTTTTGTTCAAATCCTATTAATGTTATAGAAACAGTTATACGATGACGTGTAACGTATAATAAGAAAATATATATTTATTTTTTAATCGAACATTTTATATATAACGTTTCATATATTATATTTATATATGATTCTAAAGGAGATTATAACTGGCGATTGAGAAGTATTGAATTTGAATGTTATGAAGTGTGAATCAAGAAATAATTTAGGGATACACGTGCTTAACTCACACGTAGATCTGAATTACCACGATTCTCAAGCTCACTTGAATTTATCGGTTAACAGGATTTATTCGTGACGGAAATAAATCCAATGTCTTATACGAGACTGCTGTTACGTGTCGAGTTATTCCGTCTGCTTATCTTTTTCTAGATTCCTTACTTTCATTTGCTTTTATTATATGGTATTCTACAATTACAGAGAGAGAGAGAGAGAGAGAGAGTATATGAATTATTTCAAATAGATTTATTCATACAATTCGATCTTCTTCGATCATTACAAATACATTTTGTAAAATTTATCGATTATTCGTTGGAAAAGAAATTTACAAAAAAAAAAAATAAGATATAAGAGTAGTTATACCAAACTATATTATAGCAAATAAAAGGTAGTAGTAGTGTAGTAGTACATTTGGTAGATTTTCCGACGACTTGTTTGCGAAGCGTTTTACTTGAGAAGTATGTATCAAAGAATTCGTGTGATTTCTTCTCATTCTATCGTATTATAAAAGGAGTACACACATACAAACGCAGGCAGACTCGTAGAAGGAACAACTAAAAATATACGTGGAATGCACATAGTAGATGTATATATCGAGGACGATGTGGGAGAGCAAACTGGCTAATAATAGTTCCTCCAATGATGTTATGTTACCAACATTAGAGTGCTTAAACCGTAAGATGTCGCACCTTCGAAGATTTCGAGACGTGCAATTCTAGGTTGAACGCCTTAGGCAATACATTTTCCGCAGGATGGACGTCAAACGAGTCCTTGCACTCGCCGTTCTGCACAAGATCCTTCTACAACACACACACACACACATACACACACTTGCACAAACTATCTTTCTCTTTCTCTCTCACATACTCTTGGATTTAGTAGAAGTTCACAAGGTTCAAATTGCCTTAGCTTCTTCGTACGTTGTACCTATTACTCTCTTGTGTACCAACGAATTAAACGAAAATTTCTCTACTCTTTATTTCGTAATACAAAAATCGAATAGATCTTTTCTCACAATTATTTCTTTTTACGCGTGTTGTTATTTTCCAATTATAAATGAAAAAGTTTTTATTAGTAATGTTTTTAGTTATCGTGTAATAGAAAAATAATATTATATATGTAATTTAATATATTTCATAGTATTCTGGTATTAAGTTATTAGTGACGATATATTTCTTTATCTTATATGAATATATCTATATTATTAATTAATTTATTGAATAGGTGTGAAATAGGGTGACCTGCTATGGAATTCTGGAAAACGTCGAAAATATATGTTCCTTGACTGTTAGAAATGTAGACTACAGCAACTAGCACTTCTAACGTGAATAATTAGCCCGAGTTTTAGGATGTTAGTACTCGCGGCTTTCTTGGGAAGAGTCCAGGCAAGCGAACGTGCATCTTCGGTTAATTGGGATAATCCGGATCGAAGGCGTTGCTCTTGTCGTCACTGCGGTCTCGAAATAACAACCGCAGATTCCAAGGTATTTTGCAAACTAGTTATAACGCTCGTTTATTTGTTCGTATCTTTTATGTCGGGAAACAAAGAAAAAAAACATTGCGCCAAAATGCATATCAAAATAAATTAGGAAATATTTATTTGATGATATTATCTAAAGGAAAACAAAAAAAACAACAAAAGTTTCATAAAACGTTTATATCAAACAAATCGAAAAAGTAAGAAACATTAATATTTATTATATTTTTCTCTTTTAAGAATGAAAACGATTTCGGAATGATAAGTGTTAACGTCAGTATAGAAAAAAACGTATTATTTATCGTAGTTAAACAGATAAACGATAAATTTGGAATTTTTATTAAATTCTTGTATATAATAGTCGTTTATTTCGACTGAAACAATTGAATAGTATAATTTAACAATAATTGATTAAATAATAATATTGAAAGTAATAATTTAATTTTCAAAAAAATTGAACGGTATCTTTTCATTTTCAATAAAAAAAAAAAAAGTGACTTATGCCACTTTCAAAATAAACGGCTCACATATATGTCAAAGTTAAGGGGTTAATAATAACGTGTTAGAATGTAAAAAAAAGAAAGAGGAAAGAATTGTCCATCCGTCGTAGGAAGGTGCAGAATAAAAGGGGGGCGGGGGGGGGGCTGGGGGGTGGTATAAATTTGGAGGGTGAATTGTGGCGCGGCAATGCGCTCGCGCAGCTTTCGCGCAGTCCTTGCAGGGGCGCGCGTGTCCAAAGAGTTCTCTCTCTCCCGCTTCGAGTTATATACCGGCCGGTGAGAGCAGTAGCACCGGCACCACCATCAGCACCAGGCCACTATAGAGGCCTTCTTTAGATATCTCTCTCTCTGTTTCTCTATTTCTATATCTCTATCTCCATCTCTCTCTCTCTATTACTCCAAGTTCGTTAGTTCACGGTTTTCCGTCGTGTGATACTATTTCAAAAGGATTGATTCCCATTTTTTACAGAGAGAGAGAGAGGGAGAGAGAGAGAGAGAAAGAGAGAGCGTGAAGATGTTCCGTCGTCGCGTTAAACAACAAAATATTTATAACAACAAATAAAACGTAAGATTAGTAGATACATAAAAAGAGAGAGAGAGAGAAGAAAAATTGTTGTTGATTACCGCGAAGGAATAAGGTGCGACGAAAAGTAATCGAAATTCGGTTGTTTTATTTTTCTTTTTATTCTACAACTATCACAAATTAGATCTATTCCATATTTGTTAATATTTTTATTTACAATTATTTTATTATTTGTATTGTATAATAAATCGCTGGGCGAGCGCTTCTTTTTTTTTTTTCTTTTTTTATTATGTTAACTATTTTTATACGTTCGATAAAAGGGGTGTACAAATTTCAACGTTCTGTTTCTCTGTTACCTTTTTATTGATCTTTATCTTTCTTACTTATATCTCAACACACACATCGTGATTCTCGCTTCGTAAAAGAAAGAAAGATAGATAGAGAGAGAGAGGGAGAGAGATAGAGAAGGAGACAGGGAGGAAGAGAAGGACTTACATAGACGTACCTACATGTAACATACACGTGTAGTGTCCGTTAATTCGGTTATCATCGATCGTCTTTGGCGAGAGGATAAACGTGCCCAAGTGTTGGGCTTCTGGCGAATTGCGAACGTGTGCAACGCGATTACACAGTGAACAATGTTCTTTTCCAATTTTTTCTTTTTTTTTTTTTTTTTTTTCTGATCATATGAGTTTAACATAAAAATATCCAAATAAAATTTCGCATCGTCGTTTCTTCCATTAGCTTCTTTTTCTTTCTTTCTTTCTTCCTCCGAATAAATATTAAATTGCATCAAATTATTATTAAAACAAACAAAAAAAAGAAAACTGAATGCAAATATCAGTGTATTCGGTAACTTGTCAAGCAAACGTGTCGTAGTCGATTGATCATTTTCAAAAATAGATTTGGAACAGCTGGCTTTATTTTTTGAATTCTTCTTCTTCTTCTTCTTCATTTAAAGACAAGGGAAGGGTCAAGTTAGATAAAAAGAGTTAGTAGAGGAAATGGAGGAAGCGGAGGAGGAGGGAGTTTAGTAGGAAAGATCCAACGGGCCATGAGTCGTCCGAAAGATTTATGAGGATCGTTGGCGTATCGTTTGGCTCCCTACGGAAATACAATATATCCGGGCCGGATTGTACCATCGAGGATCGATGACCGACGTTTACACAGGCATCGAAGGATCGAATAGTTTTGACGGGCATATTTCGAGTATCCCCTGTACGACCTACGCATGATTTTGTCAATGAATAATGCGCTCGGATTTATCGCTCGCTAGCGATCCTCTTCGTTTTGCGTCATCGTTGTCGATTAATTAAAAAGTGTGAAAGAGCGTGGTAGAGGGGATGGGGTGGGGGAGGGAAAAAGATGAGTCCTCTGTGAAAACCCACCGATATTCTCCTTTTTCAATTACTTTTTTTCCTACCTTCCTTCCATCTCTCTCTCTCTCGCTCTTTTTTTTTCTCTAACTAATAATACATTTAGAAAAGATAATTAAACACAATCGGTGTCGCGTTCACGTCAATGGTGATTCTTTTCGTGTGACGTTTACATACGACAACGCTACGATAACCAACAATCGCCAGTAACAACAACAAAGAGGTGGAGGACTACGAGAACGAGGAGGAGAACGAGGAGGAGGAGAACGAGGACGAGAACGAGGACGTGATCACGTGCTAAACGATCGTACGCGTGTGTCTCTGTGTGTGTGGTGTGCCATAAATGTTTCATAGACACCCTTCGTGGTGCGGATAATATCACGATATATACCTCGTTGAAACTCACAGAAAAATCGAAGCTGGATCTCGACGATATGTTCCCGGAAATCCAGCAACTGCCGTGAAAAAGTACGTATTAGCTCGACCCTCCTCCCCCGACCACCCCCCGACCACCCTCCCTCCCCCGACTTTCCACCCTCTTATCATCCCTATCTTTTTTTTTTCTTTTACTGGCTAGCAATCGTTATTTTTTTGTGTGTGTGTTTCTTTTCTCTCTTGGTATTCGAACTATGCCGAAGTAACGTATCGGGGATTTAAAGGTGAATTCGGTATGTGTGTGCGTGAAAAAGGGTGATAGAGAGAAAGAGAGAAAAAGAGAGAGAAAGAGAAATGGTAGGGTAGGAATTACAGAGGATTTATACGCGTAGTTTAACGGACTTGCTTGAGGATTTACAGTGACGAATATCTAACTCTCTAATTCTTTATATTATACTATCGAGTTAACTTGAATCATAAAAATACGTGTTGCGTGAGAAAAAATGTGAGATGGTTATTTATGATTATCTCTTTCCTTCCCATCATTTTGTTTCGAGATCAAATACGTATCTCCAAGTATATATATATATATGTCTTTTAACACATTTGAACTTAAGATATGTAACAAGTCTTACGATTTAAAAACATTGTACGTATTGCATTGAAAGACTCGTTTAAACTGTTTCCTCGTCCAATTCAAACATCAGCAAGTGTCTTTCTCATTCTCTCCCTTCCTATCCCTTTAACTCCCTTTCTCTGTTTCTCGCTTCCTCTCGATGACTTCAAACGGTCCCTCGAGTGTACTCGACTCGAAGTGCTCTTTCAGTTACGAAGATATACGTTTGCCGATCGAAAACCATACCACGCTTTCCACCACGTTCTCGTCTTTCTTGATAGTGTTGGATGCTTGCATTTTCCTATGCGCGTACTTAAAAATATATATATGTACACAATATATTTAGAGAAAGAAAGAGAGAGAGAGAGAAAAAGTAAAGAAGTAAATCAAAAGTATGGATTTTGTTTAAAGGATTCACTTGAAATTCTTTTAAATGAAACATTTCAATAATTGTTCACATGTTTATAGTTCATTAACAATTGTTCTATTAGATTTTCTCCGAGACGTGGACGTTGAATCAGTGAGAAACGTCTCGAGTATCAAAAAGAGGATACTTTTCGTCTTACGATAAAAAGAACGAGAGGGAGAAAGTAAACGAGAAAGAGTGCGAGAGAGAAACTTATTCGTATGGAGATTTCGTCGAGCTCCCTTTTCGGTTTTGTCCGAATATACACAAAGCCAGTGGTAAGCACAACTTTTCTCGTTAAGGAACACCGATCTGAATGAGCCCTTTTCTCCATACCACTACTCGGTATATCTTAAAGAAACGTTCGAAACGAAAGAGTCGCCGTTTTCTCGACCTTTCTTTTTCTACCTCCTTATCGCATTTTTGTCTCTCTCTCTTACTATTCTTTTATACTGTCTCCTTTCTATGATGTATATATATTTTCTTTTTTCTCTCTCTTCTTCTCTCTTACTTTCTCATACCTACTTCTTTTTCTTTTTCTACTTATTCTACTTCGTTTTTCTTTTTTTTTTTATCTTCTATCCTTTCGATCCAGCCACCACCACCACCACCACCACCACCACCACCACCCCATTTTACATCGTGACTCATCGCTCCGGGCATGCCGATAGTTAAAAAACTTTTAATATTAGATAAACGAGACAGACCAAGCATGATTATCTTCTTGCCGAAGTGCCATTTTTCTTTCGTATTTTTCTTCTATTCTCCTTCTTTTCTTTCTTTTATTTTCTTTCTTTCTTATTTTTCTTTCTTTCTTTCTCGTAGTGACGATTGTACTAGTACGATACAGTGTGAAAAAGATGGAAACAATATGATTTTTTTTACACGTGATCTTTTTTATTTTTTCTATTTCTTATAAAGAAAATATTGAAAAATTTATATTACTTGTTCGATATTTTCGATAAATATTTTGATGATTAATTATAAATAATTCGAATTAATTGTTAAATATTTATTCATTGCATTTGATATTTCGTGCTCATATATTTTATCATCTAAAACGAAAGTTCGTATGATAGAACGAAAGAAAGATTTATCAAAATGAATTAAGCAAAGAGACCAATGAAATAAATTGGGAAAATTAGGATTTAGAAATTATGAATTTTCTTTAACAAATACATAAATAAAAACAAAAACGGGCTCTTCTCGTTGATTGAACTTGTATTCATTTGTTTAAACCATTTGAAATTGCGTTAATTAAAAAAATGTGTTCGCAATGAATCATATGATTTACCATGTCTTAAAATGTTGGAATTAGCCAATGAACGAGTTCGTTCGGATTGTTATCAATTTGAGAAATGACTTCGTGCAAATAGCGAAGAAAAGGAAAATCTCGTGTCAGGGTGTAGAGCGTGAGATGCAGCGCGTACACCAAAGTGATGCTTTCAAAAAACTATATCTACGTGTATATCACATACCATCAAGAAAATAATACGTCTCTTAAAGTTACAACAGATCCGTCCCGTTCACTCGCAAAAGTACGCTCTCGTACGGCCATTGAAATTGTCAGAATAACCAGAGTGAGAGCGCAAAAAGCACCAAGGCGAGATGTGCTTTAGAACAGTCCCTTTCTATTTCTCTATTTATTCCTCTTTCTCTCTCTCTCTCTCTCTCTCTCTCATTTTTATCGCGAGCTTAAAGTTGAACGAACGATCGATGGATTTTTTAAATACTTTCAAATGTTTTAATGAAACTTGTATCTTGACAACATTTTTCTTCCTTTTACCGTGTAAAGTTATTTTTTTTTTTATTAATTAATTATTTTTTAATTAAATAATAATATAAATAAAAAGTATTGGGGTAAACGTTATCTTTGTATTTCAAGAATCGCGTTCTCGGATATTCCTGTTAAGATAGTGAGAAGAATCTTAAGAAAAGTATTAGTAAAAAAAGAGAGAGGGTTGGTTAGAGGAGTAGGAGGATGAGGAGGAGGAGGAGGAGGAGGTTGAGAAAGATATCGAAGTCGATTGAAAGTTTTCGACGCGAGAAAAGTCCGGCTATGTTCGACGAATGTCCGTTTCGGTGGTGCTTCCTGGAAATGGAGGGCACAACATGGAATAAATCCGCTCCGATAAAATTGAAGTACCCACCCACCCACAACTACTACTACTACTACTTCACCCCATCAAAAAACCCCCTCTCAACATCCTTGATGTGCCTCGTACAAAACTCGTTAACCTCCAGCAGCATTTCCGCGTTTATCGACTCCCACGGTTTACTCCCAAACCATCTGCCCCTTTTTCTTGGCGCCATTTTTAAACGTTGTTTCTTCTTGCCAACCAATCCATTATCTTTTCCTTTAAAACAACGTCCCTCCATTGTCCTAATATATCACTGTTTAATAATGTCAAAAATTCACAATTTTAATAATGTTTCATCCGTTGATACACATACATATAACAACATATACTTTTTTAATCGTCTACAGTACTTTTAATTAGGAACTTTCGTCATTTTCTATAATATATGGTATACACATTTCAAATTAAGTCAGAGACAAATGGTTCATTTGCGTTACTATTTTGTGAGGGAAAACTTTTACGAGAGTAAAAAAATATCCACATATATATGTTATATCGTATTATTAATTCTATCCAAATAATTATATCCAACAAATGTATAAAATTCCAAAAAAAAAATAGAAAAAGAAGACGACGAGACAAGTCTTTTTTTTCAAAGGTGATTAGAAAATCTGTTAAGACTTTTTCTTATTTTTTTTTTTTGTTATTTTTACGAAACGATTCGTTTGCAAAATTCAGTTACAAATCAAAGCGATAGAAATAGAAAGAGATAAATGTATATATATATATATAGGGGATGTCGACGCGATCGCGCGACAAAACGCCGGTAATTACATTCCGGAAGTGAGGAGGTCGAAAAGCGGCGTGGTATGCGTCCACGGCACCGTTTTGTGCCTCGAATAATTGCTGACACGCGATCCTAGCTATAGCAATAGCAAAACCTACCCATGCGCAGCTCGGGTTTAAACGCGTTCGTGTGGCCGATTGGACAAGAGCTCGTCACTTCCGTTTCACTCTTATTCTCTTTCTATCCTATCACTCTTGTTCTCTTTTGTCATTCGAGTAATCTCGTCAGGTATCTTCCTTCTCGTTCACTCTATTATTATTATTATTATTATTACATCTCTTATTAAGCATTTATTCATACGTTGAGTAGATATATGCATGCAGACACACGTGTGTCTGTGTACAGGCGTGTAGCTTTAATTGAAAATTTAATATTCCGTTTAAGTGATTTACGTGTATAATTATCGTCCTTTTGGTAGAATAAAAAATGTATTAAAACAAATATTTTTTACGAGATTACAAAATTAATTTATTTGATAAATAAATTTGTTAAACGCGCAGCTCTCATGCATGTTTGTAATAGGTATATATTTGAACATAGTAATAGATAACTCTTTAAGATGATGATGGTCTAATTAATCGGTGGTAGTTAACTTTTTGTTTATTTAACACACACACACACATACTTTCATGCATGTTTGTGTTAGATATATATTCAATATATTCTCATATATATAATCTTAAAATGATAACTAATTTTGTTTGCATTAATTTTCGAATAATTCCGAATTCGTGTTTTCTAGTTAATTTAAGGTTTTATTATGGTAACAATGATGATGATGATGATGTTATCACAGTAGAATTTAATTATTATTGTTATAGGTAATAACGTTAAAATATATTTCATGACATTTAACGTTTGTCCACGTACCTAAATATCTTCTTTACTATAGCCACTGTAATATCTTTTTCTTTAGCTTCACCAAGCTTCATCCTTCCATCCTTCCATCCTTCCTGTTTGCGTTGCTTCATCACTTGTCTTCTTCCAAGTTTTTATGACCGATGGATAATAAAAGTAATACCGGTCGTAAAGAAAAAGGCGTTGCACTATATCGGATCAGTCTCGGGATAGTATTTTCTACCTTTTCGGATGCTTTTACGATTACCAGATGTCCTGTATTCACTCGTTTAAGACTACGTTTGA